CCAAAAATGAAAATTCTGTTAGTATTTACTTACGCTCATGTTCTTCCAACCCGTAAGACCTTCGTTCATCTTCGGAACACAAATTAAGATATTTTTGATGAAATCTGAGATCTCTCTTACTCATTAGTCGTCGACTGATTCAAGCTGATAAGAGCAACTTTGACTGAAATAACCACTCGTTACAACCGAGGTATGCAGCAAAGCATTTGTGAAGCCACAACACGCACAACCTTGAGGCGGATGGGCTACAACAGCAGAAGACCCCACCGGGTACCACTCATCTCCACTACAAATGGGAAAAAGAGGCTACAATTTGCAAGAGCGCGCCAAAATTGGACAGTTGAAGACTGGAAAAATGTTGCCTTGTTAACACTGTGCAGGCTGGTGGTGGTGGTATAATGGTTTGGGGTGGTGATGTTTTATTGGCACACTTTAGGCCCCTTAGTGCCAATTCACCTTTGGCTAAGCCTCGCCCCCCTTAGTTACTGTTGCTACTTCCGTCAAACTTCATCTTGGCTGTAGTTTGGTATCAACATGGCTTATGCTGTGACAGCTCTTCCTGCTGAAATGTTATCAAACTTTTATAAAGCAGCAAATAAAGTGTCCGATAGAAGTAGGCAAAAGGGGCTGCGTTTGAAGGCTATATTCAAGACATACAGGTGAAACGCAAGAAACAACAAGGCATCCAAATAGAGGCCAACATCTAAAGAATGCTTAAAGTTGAATCAATGCCACTTATAATTAAGGCAGTTCTGAATGCGAAAGGGGGTCAAATACAGTATTAGTGTTCCTAATAATCCTTTAGGTGAGTGTATATCGACTGTGGAAGGCGTAGGGCAAAAAAAGTTTCTTATGCTGCGTTCATGCCATAACTACAGTAATTTGGAAGAGATGGAAACCCGTGACATTATACTCAGAGCGGTTCATGACTTATGCATTTCCATGGCAACACTATCAACACTGACATTAAACGGCAACAGTCAGGTGGTACAATTCTGAGCTCTATGTTCATTTTTATTGTAATATTATGTGCTTTGAGACATAAATAACTATTTGTTTTTCTGACTAACAGAATAGAAAAACTATAAATTGATGACCAATTTAAAAAAAAATAGATTGACTATACTGTGTGTATATATTTTGTTGAAAGTTAATATTAAAAATTATTTAAATATATATTATTCTTAATATTTTGATTAAATATTCTATCAGTTAAGACACACTGCATAAATGACCCTGAATGTAAATCTGAAGAGTGTTTTTTTTAGATGGAGAGGACAGGAGGTGTCATAATTACCTTTGAAGTCGTCTTATCTGAACTAACAATTGCTTCCTGACCCATCACAGAGTCATTGTAGCCATGACAAAACTGATCAACATAATAAAGCAACATCATTTCATGCCAGCCTAGATGAATTTATGAGTCCTGATAAAAGCATATTACATTTAGCGGCACAAATTACACTGAAAGGTGCAAATCGAGGACAAAACCATAGATAAAGAATGATTTTAAGTTACTTTCTGTCATTTGGGTAAAAGCTGGATATTTATCAGCGTTCAGAAGCTCTGCCAGGAAAGGAGCCGTCCTCAGAGATCTTTCCTGAGCACGAATAATTAGTATAATGCATTAGATGCAACCTCACACTAATTTTTCAAAAGTTGGTACACTAAAATGGCACACGTTTAATAAAACATCTAATAATAGACTCGATTTTTACCTTTTCTGATGTGAGGGGTCCACGCAAATATTACTTCCAGGATATTATTATTGCTCCAGACACATTATAGTTCAAAATAAAGATGAACAACAGGCCAGTTTGTCTCAGACTGGAATTAGGGTCATGCTAATCAGAAGTGAACTGCTGACTCGGGCAGAGGATCAAACAGAGGTCATGAGTCTGATCACTGCTGAGCTGCGATAATGACCGAAGAATATGTCTGAAATCAGCGATAAGGCCTTTAATGTTCTATAAACACGACGGGTACTAAAGTTTACAGGCCTTAAATTAAATGATAAACTTTGACTTTGAAAGGCACATCAAGAGAGCGCACTGTGATATGTGATCTAAAGGCGATATGTGAACATATTGATCTATGTAGTAAAACAGAACAAAATTCACAATTTTACTTTAGAACATTCATTATTTTGTGTAAAATGTAAAAAAAAAAATTACTACTGTGCTCAAACGTCTCGGTCTGCGGACACATTGAAAATTAAAATGATATCAATATGAAGTATTTTAAAAAAATATCTTTATCATATCTTGAACTTGAACAGTTCTCATCAAGTCCTTTACTGTGTATCAACAATTAAGGAACTTTAGGAAAAACTTCTTAAAGGGATAGTTCACCCAAAAATGAAAAATGATGTACTCACCCTCGTTCCAAACCTGTATGAGTTTTGTTTCTGTATGGAACAAAAGCAGATATGTTGAAGAATATTTGTACATTTACATTTATTCATTTAGCTGACGCTTTTATCCAAAGTGCCTTACAATTGCTAATTATGTCAGAGCTCGCACGCCACTGGAGCAACTAGGGGTTAAGTGTCTTGCTCAGGGACACGTTTGTGTCTCACAGTTTATTCGAACCTGGGTCTCTCACACCAAAGGCATGTGTCTTGTTCACTGTGCCATCACCACCCCTAACCAGTCAATTAATGATAGCCATTGACTTCCACAGTATTTTTTTTTCATATGGAAGTCAATGGCTATACCGTCATCTGTCTGGTTTCCAACATTTGTTTTTTTAAGTAGGCTATCTTCTTTTGTGTTCAACAGAATAAAACTCAAAGAGGTTTGAAACAACTTGGGTGAGTAATGACACAATTTACATTTTTTAGGTGAACTAGCCAATCCCTTTAAGTAAAACATAAAACTTAGATTTCCATCAATATATGAGTGTGGATAGGCCATTCAGACATAATGTTTAGAAAGAACACAATATAATGCATCTGCAAAACAATGCAACATCTTAAATTAAATCTAAACATTCTAATTAAAGAAATACACCAGAAAAATCACAATCATTTTTGTACAGATATATGTCAGCAGTCCTATTTTTGCAATGCATGTCATTGCAATAAATCACTGTAAGCATGCAACAAACCTGCATGCGCGCGCGCGCAATAGGCCTATAGAGAGGACGTGACACGAGGCCGGCGGTGCCATTGATTCAATTTAATTTGCGCACCTCTGTCACAGGGTGCCAAAGACGGATTTACCAGTGGCCGGACTGTTTAAATTACTTTTAAATCATAAAAGCAGCGCACCGGCCGAGGGGAGGGAGAGGTAGAGGATGCTGGGAAGATGCGAAGAGCGCTTTATTTCTCTTGCGCAAATTATCTGCAATGGCTGTGTCTCAAAACCTACTGAGCTGCCTAGCTAGACAGCATATTTGGTAGACACATATTTGGTTAAATTAAAAAAAAAAAAAAAATTGATCATAATGGGAAGAAGCGTCTTTTATAAATCACCCACTTATTTTTTATTTACATTTTTTTTTCATGTACAATGCAATGATGTACGATATATTGTCCTCAAAGACATGACCGATGTAGACTGTATGTTGTCTATGTAGGCAGCACACCAGGTGTTGAGTCACACAGCTTCAGAGTCGCAGCCCGGAGCGCATTAACGGTATAGAGGGGCGGGATGCTTCAATCTTCTCGGGTCAAGGCGAAGATATCAGAGTTTCAGCCTCACGTCGCCTGTGGAGGGACTGTTTCCATGTTATTAATCTGGCCTTTCCATGTACGCAATATTTAAAATAACAGCTGCGAATTGCAATTCATTTCGTCTCGATTTATTGCGTGTTTACGACAAGCAGGCCATGGAATGAAGGTTTCGAATGAATTGCCTATTTCATTCATTATTTTATATAGGTATACAACTATGTTTATTATTTGTTTCCCCCTGTTATAGCCAATGCATACTTTGTGTTTGCATTTATACAGAAGATTGTAGAATATATTCACTACAGCAATAAATGTGATGATTATTTAGGCTCGCACGATGTTAATGCGGTCGAATTTATGTGTTTTTTTCGATCCGACTCTTCTGTCTTAAGTACATTTTATTAAAAGCATCTTAATTCCCGTCATATACAGTAGTGGAATAGACACTCAAGTCCATGAAAATGAGCAATAAACTGTATTTTCGAACTGATGAGAGATTCTACGCCGTACAAGCATTTATCATCATCATTTTTTTTAATTATTATTAATGTAGGCCTACTTTATATATATATATATATATATATATATATATATATATATATATATATATATATATGACGCAACCTCAGCTTACAAATATTTTAATTGTCTAAATCCATATAGTCTGGTTAATTTAGTCATAATGAATTTGAAAGAAACAGTTGAAATGTAGATCTTATAGTAGGGTTATGTGACAACACTTTTTAATCAGACCATTTAATGCTGCAAACATTTGACTTATTTTATAGGTTAATATATTGTCTATGTATAATGTAAAGTCATAAAATTAAATTACCTTGATAATACAGACGAAATTCTTTAAATAAGCGGGTCGTAAAAAAATATTAGATTACTACATTATTAGTAGGCTATTAATATAGGCTGCATCATGGAAAACTGCTCAGTGAGGTTATTTTTAAATTGATATTATGTGAGATACTGAATAATTAATAAAAAATTATATTGAACCAATTGCAGGTTTAAGGTCTAACAAATAATAAAAGCAGCATCATAATCTTACAAAATAAAAATAAAAAACTTATCGCGACAATTTTTATTTCATTATTATGTAATTTATTAATGCATTTAGATGATTTAGGGATACCTTTAAACATGCAGTTGGTGCGATTAACTGAGCTATAACTGAGTAACGCTTGATTTCATGCACTTTCATGCAGTCTGATGTTGGTTGAGGAACAAGTCTCAGTCCAAGGACGTGCACGAAGAGTCTGTACTACTACAGTATGATTAGTTAATTAGAAAACTGTCAAGTGATCTACTCCCGCAAGCAGCCAATCAGCGCTCACAAAGGCGTTATGACTGCGATGTGAACGCGCGGAGAGGTTCAGAGAGCAGGGTAGATGACAGAGATACTGTTCTAAACAAGAGACCGCCGTGTTAAAGAACGATTTAGCGATAGTGTATCCTTTATGGGCGCGTTTTCTTTCGTGTGCGTAAAAGTTTAGAGATACTTTATTAACTACTCTCATGGGCTGAGTTCCAAATATCATTTAGACTGAACTCTACATATCCCACGAGTTAAAATAGAGCAGAAAGTATCACTAATCGTGTTTAAAACGCATGTTTCTGTGCGTAAAACACAGCTATCCAAGTGTTTTCCTGCAACTCCAAACAACCTAGAAGCGTTGCAATGGAAAAATCAAAGAACTTCAGGATCGACGCTCTTCTGGCTGAAGAACCACATCGAGGGACACGAGAAGTATCACCTGGACTGAGCAGCGACAGCCCGACTGGTAGTCCGGTGTCCTGCAGGCGCGCAGACACTCCGTCCCCCTGCGCCATACACCTCCAAACCGGAATCATACCTAAACCAGGGCTGCTCAATCTCCCACACCCGGGACTCACTTCACTTCCAGGCATGTACACGACGCCCATGTACCCCATTTCAGCGTTGGGAGGTCAGCACCCCGCCCTGGCGTACTCGGGTTTTACGCAGCTGACGCACCCGTACCCGGAGCAACTGAAGGCGGCGGCGATGGCCGGGTCTTTACCGCTGGAGCACTGGATACGAGCCGGCATCATGGTACCACGACTGCCCGATTACACCTGTGAGTGGGGTAGCATGCAGATGAGTGGGTAACACTTTGTTAAATCATTACTAAACATTCAACAATCCTTAAATGATTGACGTTTGTTATTCTTATTGATTGAATTTGAGAGGTGTATAACGATTTTATTTATTTAACGTAATACTGTTTAGCTGATCTACTTTCACGGGGCTGTATGAAAATAAATTAATTGCATCTGAATATATGAACTATATAGGCTATATTATAAAATATGTTTAAAGTTTTTGACCTGCTTAACTATAAAAACATGATATGTGAAGCATTAAAAGTTCCATTTGAAGCTATTATTTGTTCTAATTTGACTTTTTGTTTTTCGAAAGAAATAATTTCTTATTCCGTAATAATGCTGTATACTCAGAAATTACATGAGCACAAATTACAGTTTTTCCGTATTAAAAAAAAAAAAACTACAAAAGCATCTGACGTAAATAGAAAAATATAGAAGTTTTCTCCAAATCATGCAGAATACGTAAATTGTGCACCTCCATCATTATTGCATCATTACTGTCATACACCAAAATTTTGTTGCATTAGTACCGCCATTGTCGGTTTGAAAGCAAACATTGTAAAAGCTCATGAAATCCTTTTCAACATAATCAAAGGTGAGGAAAAGCAAACAGACGGAGAGAGATGTGCTTACACACCTGTGACTCTTGAAACACCTGGAGTTAATTTGTCACTAAGCAATTATGATGGTTTATAACTCCTGTTTGATGGATTATTAAACTGAAATCATGGTGGTCACATGTGGCGAAATTAGTTTGCTGAATTATACATTACAATCTAGGTGGCTAAATGAAATTATGACTAAGTATTAGGGGTTTTTTCTATATGCATTTGCAAATAAAAGAGCTTTTGAAAATTGAAAGCAGAAATTTGTAAACAAACAAATAGTCAATATATCTGATCATCATATTTAACATTAAACTCAGACATGATTGAAAGATTATATTATCCTTGGATAGTTAAAGAAACAACAACTCAACAATAAAGTCATTTTGACACTCTGACTGAACAATGTTCTCTATGGTGTTACCAGGATTTACACCAAACTGTAATAATATAATTTTATTTTTGGCTTCTTTATAAAGCCATAAATGTCAGCTCGATGGATATTGTCTTTGTGTGTGAGAGAAACTATAAACAAACACCTTAAACATACTGTAGTTCATCAATAAAATCCCAAAAGCGTTCATTGAATTTTCATTAAGTTAATGGCTTGCTCTTGCATTTTATGGCCGCCCAGCTCCGCTTCAACTGTGTTTAACAATAAGCTGCAGTAAAGCTATTATAGTAAATGATAGCTACAAATTCTAGGCTTTCTTTTGTGTGTGTGTGTGTGTGTGTGTGTGTCCAACCCGGCAAGTCCTTGACATTATATAAAAGAGACAAAAATCTCATAAAAATAATCTAGACGTGGATTACTATAGCTTGTATCCCTTTTGGCTGGTGCTTAATTTTTATATACCGGCACAAGAGGCCTCTTATTAATTTGGAAGAGATTTACAGTTTTACCAATGACGTTATGCAGGCTTTTAAGTAAAAATGCTGCTAAACATTTATGCCCTTAGTTCAACATGAAGTTATGTTAAACTGCAGCACAATATTTGCATTTTATAGACTTATAATAACCAATCACTAAGATCTACATAAAAGAATATCACTTCACTCTAAAAATGCTGGGTTGTTTTAACCCAATTTTGGGTAAAATATGGACAAACCCAACCATTGGGTTGCATTTTTAAATGATATTTTTACCCTATGGCCATATTTTACCCAAAATTGGGTTAAAACAACCCAGCATTTTTTTAGAGTGTTGGATGGACCTGGACCAAACAACTAAAACTCAATTGAATGGTCTTATGGGAAACCTGTTTATAATTTATACAATGTATTAATGTCCTCATTCTTTTGTTTTGTTGTACAGCCGCCCCCCAGTCCGGTTTGATGGGTAAATGTCGAAGGCCACGGACAGCATTCACCAGTCAACAACTACTGGAGCTGGAAAACCAGTTTAAACTTAACAAGTACCTTTCCAGACCCAAACGCTTCGAAGTGGCCACATCACTCATGCTGACCGAGACACAGGTAAAGAAGTGTGAAAGTCAGCCAGTGGAGGAGTTTTGAGATACATTATGCCACAGTTCAGTGATTAACGGATTTACTGAACAAAATTTTGAGGTAATAATTAAAAAAAAATAATACTTTATTCAGCAAGGGTGCATTCAATTGATAAAAAGTAACAGAAAAGAAAGATGTTGTTTCAAACAAATGTTGTTCTTTCGGACTTTCTATAATTCAAATAATCTGGAAAAAATGTATCAAGGTTTCCACAACAATCACTGTAAAATATTGTTGGTTTAACTTAAAAAAATGAAGTAACCTGGTTGCCTTAAAATTAAGTTAATTGAAATTGAAAAAATTGAGTTAAAACAATGAAGATTGATTTAATCATCAGAAACTCAAAATATTATGTTATCTGAACTACATACATTATTTAAGTTGATTTGACAAAAGAAAAAATGTTGTGATTACAAATCACAGTGTATTTTCAACATCCAGTGTTTCTTGAGCAGCAAATCAGAATGATTTCTGAAGGATCATGTGACACTGAGGACTGGAGTAATGATGCTGAAAATTCAGCTATGATCACAGGAAAAAATTACATTTTAAAATATATTAAAATTAGCGCTGGGCAACGATTAATCGCGATTAATCACATCCAAAATTAAAGTTTGTGTTTTCCTAATATATGTGTGTGTAGTGTGTATAATTATACAAATTCACACACATGCATGTATATATTTAAGAAAAATGTGTTTAAATTATGTATAAATATATATACAGTATTTACATGCAAATATTTCTTAAATATATACAGGTACATGCATGTGTGTGTATTTATATATACAAAATAATTATACACACTACACACACATATATTATGCAAACACAAACTTTTATTTTGGATACGATTAATCGCGATTAATTAATGCGATAATTTCACATTATTCATTTTACTGTATTTTTTATCAAATAGCCTAAATGCAACCTTGGTAAGAGACTTCTTTCAGAACCCCAAAAAATGAAGAAAAAAAAAAAGACCCAAAGTTATTAAAATTCGACTCATTCGGTTGGAGAAAGAAAATAATACTAATTTGAATTAAAAAAAGAAAACATTGATATGGTGTCATTGTCCAAAGTTTTCTTTATCTGCGTATTTTTTCTCAGGCAGAAGGTGTCTATTTTGCTGACATCCGTGTGTGTTTGTGTGTAAAACAGGTCAAGATCTGGTTCCAGAACCGGCGAATGAAGTGGAAACGCAGTCGTAAGGCTAAAGAACAGGCCGCGCAGGTCGAGGTCGAACGCCAACGCGGGGGAAGCAAACCGACCAATGAGAGACCAGGACGGGACGGTCGCAGGGCTCTCGCTCAGAGTGTGGAGGAGCACGAGGAAGAGGACGAACTCGACGAGGACGAGGAAGACGATGAGGAAGGGCCACACAAGTTCATAAACGACACCCTGAATGTTGCACGTTCCACAGACTTTCTGCACCACGCGTCTGCGTTAGGATACCACGCCGACAGCCCCTTCTCCGAGGACGACATGGAGGAGGTGGGAGGCGGAGACAGGAAGATCGGGGCAGGGTTATGAGACGATTTCCAAATGGAAACTGAGACTGCATGAACTCGCGTCCTGTGCTGTGGTCTGACTATGGCAATGGTAAGATTAAAAAACTGAGACTATAAAAGCCAAACCATTTAGCCACCTAAAGACACACGAAAAGCCAACCAAGTAGGGGGACTTCATTGATGTTTGAGGGGTCAGAGAATCTTATACAAAGTAGAAGTTCAATATAACTAATAACAAGCATTTAAGCGCTGTTCCAAAACCTGTAAACAGCATTTTAAGGAATCACAGTAGACCGAAACAAAAAAAAAAAAAAACATTTTCAGCAAAGATGCATTAAATTGATCAAAAGTGTAATAATGCTGAAAATTCAACTTGGATCGCATGGAATAAATGGCATTTTATAATATATTCAAATACACTGTAAAAAATTAATATGCTTGATCTAATCAATAGATAGAGAATTTTGGCCACATATTACAAGCAATATTATTAATTAAATTTAACAAAATTAGAATTGAGTAATAATGAATCAAATTATTCCTTAAAAGTTAACCACTTAAAATGAGTAAAGCTTACACCATTTTTTTATATTTTTTTTTACAAAAATATCTCACTAACAGACAGATGTAAAAGGTTAATTAAGAACTCTATTTTATATTGCCTTCATTGAAGACACCTTATGTTAACAAGCAGAATCACTGAAGGAGAAAACCGTCATTTTAAAACAAACACTGATCACCATAATGGTGACTTCAATTTATGTTTTTTTGGTTGTTGTTGTAAGTTTTACTCATTTTAAATGATTAACCTTTAATGAATTAATTTGATTAATTATTACTCAATACTAATTTGTATCTTCATTTTTACAGTGCCCAGTTATTTTAAATTGTAATACAATTTTAGCATTTTTACCGATTTTTCTTCTGAGACTTCTTCCAAAAACATCAAAAAAATAATCAGACCCTAATCTATGGAACGATACTGTATTATTAATTCAATAGAGAAAAATAATAATAATTGTTCAGGTAAGGCAGCTCTATAGGTTTTGGAACAGAGCTTTTGATCATAATTTTTGAGAGCTCTCTTGTTTCAGCAAGACTTACATGTTCATTTATTGTTTTTGTTCATTGTAAATAGCATCAGATGTTCTGTGTCATGCTTACATCTGTACAGTTTTTGCAGCAAAACACGTTTGCTTCATTATTATGGATTGCAAATAAACCTTTACTAAATATAGGCTAACATAAAACTCAGCAAAATATTATTCATTTAAATACTGGTGGATATGGAATTTATTCAATTTCTCAAGCATATTATTTCAAAGAAATATTGTTTTGAGAAGCCTTGATATTAACAGTGATATTAACTGCAATAACAGATTTTAAAAAGAAGTATTACCATTGGGAAACATCGATATGCTCTGGATGGTGAACTTGATCTTCAGCTTCCATGTCCAGGTCAAAAAGTGTGTGATGTGCTGTTTCGAGTGGCCAGTAGTCCTCCACAATCCACTGCAAACTTCATTCTGGTATGAAACGAAAACCCAATCAACTCCTGAGGCTGCACGGATACACTGATTATGTTCCAAAACGTAATTTATACATTTAAAATGTATGCAGTTTCATGTGGTGCCAAAGCAAAACAACAAAATCAGTTTGAAATTCATTGTTTTAAAGTTGATTAATGCTTGGTTTGTTTAAAGGTACGACATGCATATTGTCTAAAATATTTATTTGCATTAAAATATGCTGAATATGTGTTTCTCTGACTTCTCCCCACCTGTGTGATGTAAGAGAGCTGGAGGCATGATTCTTTCTAAATGTCATGTTTACATGTGGCTCAGTGTTTGTTCATGTTAATGTTATTTAAAAGCAAGTTTAAGTCTGTGTAATTTATTTCCATTGAATGATGCAAGGGAGGTTGATGCACAGTATAATAATGTTATATATGTCTGCGTTGCTGTAAATTGCTGCAAATAAACCAAAAGAAAAACAAAAGTGTGACAATGATTCTTCAAAATCTGAATAAAGCTCCCTTCAGAGGCATCAAAACATTCAGATAATGGGCCTATTTGTGTAACATTCCTGTATATAAACATACTGTGTGTGAGAGTGTGTGTGTGTGTGTGTGTGTGTGTGTGTGTGTGTGTGTGTGTGTGTGTGTGTGTGTGTGTGTGTGTGTGTGTGTGTGTGTGTGTGTGTGAGTGTGTGTGTGTGTGTGTGTGTGTGCGTGAACACATAGCCTACACACACACACACATATTTCATCAAGGCATGTTCAGATAATGGGCCTATTTGTGTAAAATCCATATATCACTCTAAACAATGCTGGGTTGTTTTAACCCAAATTTGGGTCAAATATGGACAAACCCAAATGTTGGGTTAAAAATGTCATTTCAAATTTTAACCCAACTTTCAACGGTACATTTTTTAAATGCATTTTTAACCCAGCATTTGGGTTTGTCCATATTTGACCCAAATTTGGGTTGAAACAACCCAGCATTTTTTAGAGTGTATGTATAGATGAGTGTGTGTGTGTGTATACACTACAGTACATAGCCTACACACACCTATATATATATATATATATATATATATACACACACACACACACACACACATACTAAACAATGCTGGGTTGTTTGAACCCAAATTTGGGTAAAATATGGACAAACCCAACAAAAATGTAATTCAAATTTTAACCCAACTTCAACTTTCACTTTCAACCGTAAATTTTTTAATTGCAGTTAACCCAACATTTGGGTTTGTCAATATTTTACCCAAATTTGGGTTCAAACAACCCATCATTTTTAGAGTGTTTAAATATTTATTGGTTTGACAGCACTAAATATAATATAATATAATAATAAAAAAATCTTTATTTTTAAAGCTCACTTGTATTTTTCTTGAAATTCTATTTCAAATAAAAGTATTGAAGATGCCATTATTTAAAAGCACTATCTTTTAAGTCATTGACTGGATGTGCAGCGAGACATCATCAGCCGCCGGATTAACATGCTGGAGAATGGCAAATCTGTAGCCCATAATAAACCAGTAGAAAGAGGTTATTTACAGCCCAGCCTCTCAAATATGAATTACTCAGGCGGGTTTACTGATAGTCAAATAATTAAGTTAATGAAGAGGAAGTAAAGTAATCAGCCCCTTGGTAGTGATGTCATCAGGGTAATTTCATTTACAAAAAAAGCAAGAAATAAAAAAAGAAAAATGATGGGAATACGACCACAACAAGGCGCTTTATTGGGCGTTTGTATGAGGGCGGTGATTAAACGCACAAGTACAGACAGCATAACTTCTCTGTCACGGAGGCAACAGGACAGCATGTTTATATAGTGATTAAATGCATTTTTAACTGGCCTCAGAAAGGTGCCTCTGCCTTGTTAAAACTGAACCAGACCGGGACATCGAGGACAGTCTCTGAGAGAGTTTTTTTTACTCATTTTCAGAGATTGGACTACACAGGTTTATTTCCCGGGTCGCTCAATGACGAGAGATTATAGGGTTTTACAGCTTGAAAGTTGTCAATGAAACCCTCAAAAGTTTTACATGGGATGGGTTTTAAAGTCAAGAAAAGGACTTACCTGATTAGGTAAATTGCAAGTTAACTTTTGCATCACATTTAGCAGACACTTTTATCTGAAGCGGCTAACACAGGAATCAAACACATGACCTTGGAGTTGCATGTATTACACTTACAGAAATAGGACAGGAGAGAGCATCAGTTGCTAAGTGAGCATTTTCATGTTTATCTACATTTAAGGCTGTATGTTTGTGGTTCTACATAAACAGGTGATTTACAAGTAGTTTTATTAAAATGTTCTGAAGAGAAAGAGAGTGATACTTGCCTAGGCAAAACGTTGGTCTTGCACGTTGCAGCCAGGTTGTTGCTGTGTGGTTGATAGAGTCTTCTAGATGATTTCTCCTTCAATATAAGCCTATGGAAATGTTCCTCATTGTTCTGAAAATAAAAATAAAACAAGACTAAAGTCACTCAACAAGTCACACGATTTGATATATCATTCATGTCCATTGTCCATAATGGCATGGCACAAATTGCACACCTGATTAAAATTAGGCAGTGGTTCTTAATCAGGGGCCAGACACTCTAAAAAATGCTGGGTTGTTTCAACTCAAATTTGGGTCAAATATTGACAAACCCAAATGTTGGGTTAAAAAAGCAATGTATTGAAAGTGAAATTTGAAGTTTTGCATATTTGTCCCATATTTTGGGTTAAAAAAACCTAGCATTGTTTAGAGGGTAGGGGACCTCAGCAAAGGAAGCCTCAGGATAAATAAAAATGATGTAAAATAAGACAAAACAAGCAATAAAGTAGTTCACGTTTAAAAAAAACTTTTGCTGATAATTTACTCACTCTTATGTCATCCAAGATGTCCATGTCATTCTTTCTTCAGTCGAAAAGAAATTAAGATTTCTTTGAAAACATCCCAGGACTTTTCTCCATATAATGGACTTCAATGGGAACCAAATGGTTCAAAGTCCAAAAGACAGTTTCAGTGCAAACTACAAACTGTTCAAAGGGCTTTAAACGATTCCAGACGATGAATAAGGGTCTTATGAAGTTTTATAAGCTCAAATGCTCACCTTGCTCTGTTCTGTGATTCTCCTGTTCGAACTCATTTATCAAAATGAACGAATCTTTTTTCGTGTCATTTGGTTCATTCAACGAACGAAATGAACAAATTGACTCGGAAAAAGATTAGTTCATTTTGACGAACGAGTTCGAACAGGCGAGTCACCGTGCCCTTTGAAGCTGCACTGAAACTCTCATTTGGACCTTGAACCGTTTGGTTCCCATTGAAGTCCATTATATGGAGAAAAATGCTGGAATGTTTTCAACAAAAACCTTAATTTCTTTTCGACTGAAGAAAGAAAGACATGGACATCTTGGATGACATGGGGGTGAGTAAATTATCAGCAAAAGTTTTTTTAAAAGTGAACTACTCCTTTAAAATAAGCTAAAATCATGACATTTCTGGTTTTAATTAACTTTTTCACTTTCGTTTTTTTTTCAGCTATTTTTATAAGTTACTAACATCCTTTTAAAAATATTTTTAAAAATATATTTTTTTTAAAAATAAATCATGAACAGCTGGAAAGGTCATGAGGTCGAGAACCACTAGATTAGGGATTTGTTCAAACATTTCAAATAGTAACAGTGATTTTTGCCTCATCAAACGCCACGGTAAATCTAAAAACAGTTATGCTGGCATTTGTGAACTAGTGATTTCCAGTATTATATGTAATATTGAGTGTTTTGATGTTTTAGATGCTTGCATTTCAATGAAATTATTCAGGTGGTTTTAGTCTCCATTCACACACCGAAAGATGGACACAAATGCTGACTATAGCCTTTACGGCATCGACCCAAAGTCGCGAGAGTGTGGATTTGAAGATATCCCGACTTTATTCATGGCTCCGCTTCCTGCAACAGCCCTTTTATCCGCATGCAAATGTCAGTTTCATAGAGAAATAAGTAAATGCGACTCTACCAATTTGTCTGCCGGCAAATCAGCAACAATAACTTGAGCGACATGACCCCGTAAAATATTTATACCCTGTAGTTTAATCAATCAGACTCATTACGGGAATATGAACAGATTGTGTGATCTTTTAAAGTAATCACCCTTATTGCTTGAGATTTCCCTCGGCCTTGTCGTGTCACTTAAGCTAATGGGAAGGTAAGAGAATGAGAGACTGGCCCCATAAATTCACATCTGTCCCGACTTTAACCGCAGCTCAAACACACACAAAAAGGCCAAGTTTTAGTAATAAACTTTATTGAAAAAGGCTCAGCCTTTTCTCTTTAAATGCAAGCTTGCGTTCGGGACAGGCATTTATTATGCTTGCGGGAAATCTATCAAACAGATGCGAAATGTGGCTTAATAATCAAGATAAGCGACTAGCTAGCCGTCACGGTGATTATGATTGGCTTGGAGTCAGCAAAAGGCTGTGTTTGTTTTTCCCTGCCGTAATAAATAATCAGCCTATCCTTGAGATGTGATTTCTGAATGTACACGTAGAAAGCGGCCGATGTTTACTTTAATACGCTAGCTGCTAATTTCAATGTACGGGCCTACCTAAACTCAAACTTGAAGCGAACGCAGTGTATTTATAGCTGATTGCGCTGTTACTGTTTTAAAGGGATAGTTCACTTTGAAATACATTTTTGGTATGTTTTAGCTCACCTAAAGGGCATCCAAGTTTCAATTTTGATATTTTTAGGTCAAACCGGTTGTGTCTAGTATCAGTCATATAATGCAGGTCTATGGTCACCACCTCAAAGAGCATGCACAGAGAAGTCCAAATTAAACATGATTTAATGACATTACATTAATTACATTTACGAGTCATTAAATCATGTTTAATTTGGACTTCTCTGTGCATGCTCTTTGAGGTGGTGACCATAGACCTGCATTATATGACTGATAGACAAGAACGGTTTGACCTAAAAATATCAAAATTGAAAATACCGCCGAAACAAAGACACCAACATCTTTGGATGCCCTTGAGGTAAGCTAAAACATACCAAAAATTAATTTCAAAGTGAACTATCCCTTTAAATAAATAAAATTCAACCCAGTCCTCTATTCCGAGATTGGGAATGTTACAAAGAAATAGTGTCAATCAAAAAAAGGTCCAATCAATGCAACAAGGCAAACAACTACAATATCCACAGAATTTTATTAAATGAGACGCGTTTAAACTGTATTCCCAACCCCTTCCCTTTATGGCAGATCTGTGATTTACTGAACGAGAGAAACACTGGAGGATCAGAGGCACTCAACATTGACCCATAATCCCTGGCTAATTAAATAATTCACTAATTGATTCATCACCAAATCAATAAAGCAGGAGATGGTTTATGATGTTGGTATAGCACTCTGTGACCAATTGGTTGCAACTATAAAGATGAATTTTTATTAGTGGTTTTGTCAAGGTATGCATGAATATTACTTTTGCAATTACTATAGGCTTTAGTTAGTTTAAAAAAAATGTAAAATT